AGGAGAATTTGACCACGTACGACACGCTTGAGGAGAACGAACTCGAGCCGGATGTCTATGACATTAATGTCGTTGCATGGGATAGCCGGGCTGCTCCTTTGCATCTTGCCATTCTCCATGGTCACATTGAGGCCGTGAAAGAGCTTGTCACGTCCTTTGGAGCCGATGTGCTGATGCCGATCAAAATCATGAACGACCACTCTAGAACACCACTGGCTGCAATTCTCAGCCTGGTTCTCGTTCATGCCCTCCCATTTGAGAAAGCGAAGGAGATGTCGCAGACCCTTCTTGACCTCGGCGCTTCGCCAGCTCAAGCAGATCTCAAGCAGAAGACACCACTATACTACCTTGCTCATTCTGACAAGTTTGACATTCTCGATATCTATATGCAGCATGATGAACCGGCAGTAAAGCGGGCAATCAATCACTTGGCAGTTCAGGGCTCGTTTTGGACACCAGAATTATCGTCGGCATTGATGGCTGCGCTCACTGCAAAGAGTGCACCCGCGGCGCTCAAGCTGCTAGAGACAGGTGCCCACCCAGAAATTGATCTTGGCGAGCTTGTGAAGGCCATTACGGCATCCAGAGACGGCAAGACTTACTACGGCAACATTGAAGAAGACGCAAAGGCTAGTGTAAAGCAGCCAATCTTGCTGGCTGTTGAGAATGACCTTCCTTTGGTCGCCATTGATCTGCTCCATCGCGGGGTGAACCCTAACACTGAAATGAAGGAGAGATATGGAGGCAAGGGTCAAACTGTGTTGGATGTCTTGCGCCAAACTTTGAAAACGCTCCGCGAATTTATGGTCGAGCGCGAGTACGTATCCTATGATCACTCCATTGCAACACCTCTCGATCCAAATGACCAGGCATATCTGTCGGAATTCCAATCTGGTAGTTACAAAATGTTCACTGCAAAGGATTTGCTCCGCAATGTGCGCAAGACAAATCGAGAGGCCGAAGAAGAAGCCAAGAAGAAGAAAGTCCAACCGATTGATCCTGGCTTGGCTGAGAAGAAGGCGTTTATTGCGGATTTGATTCGCGATTACGAGAAGCTGGAGTTCATTCTGCTGCAAAAGGATGCAAAGACCTGGGACGAGCTTTATCCTCCGCAGGGCGCTCCAGTGACGTTCCCAGACTACGTTTCGACCGAGAAGATGAAGCCCACCACCCCTAAGCCTTGGGAAGTCCGTTTCAACTTCAATGTACCAGCTATTACTGAGAATGCTCGCGACGGATACATAAAACTGTACACATCCCCTCCTTACACCCCTAAACCAAGAATATTATGCTGACATCAATATAACAGTTTTGAAGCAGCCTGGAGTGGCGACATTGATACCATTAAAACCATGACACTGGGCATGTGGGGATCTCTCAATGAGCAAGCACCACTTGAGATCGCCGTAACCGACAAGCAAGGCCTGTCTGCCCTTACAATTTCCATCATGCGCGGCCATTTCGCCGTTGCTAAGGCCATTCTTCAAATCCTCCACGTACAGTATAAGGTGAAGGAGCCTCGCGGTCGGAAACGCTTTGAGATCGACATTGATGAATGCTCTGACGACTGTGAGAACTCTGATGAAGAGAACGATGATCTGAACATCGTCAGTGACATTGTTGATGATACTTTCACCCACGAAAACATCGGTGAAATTACCAGCCAGGTCGAGAGCAACATTTCCCCTCTTGCTGCTTTCGAGGCACGGTTCAATGCCTTCGTATTTTTGGACGAATATCACCAGGATGGCTGGGAAAAGAGAGACAACCCTGTCAACGTTAATGGTCTGGTGAAATACGCTGTTTACACAAACAACATTCCTCTTCTGGAGTTCCTTCTGAAGACTGGGCTAGACCTTGCTTCCACCAACCCATCTGGAAAGAGTGAGTTCTTGGTGAAGTTTGATGAGTTCCAGCTTGCGATTTCGCTTGGCCGTACCGATTGTCTTGCCAAGATGATTCAAAGTACTGGAGCTGGCCTTCCACTTACCAAATTGAGTGATGATTGTGGCGTTGAGGAGAAGAAAGAACCTCAGTTCTACCCTGGGTTGTCGATTCGCGGCAGCAAGCGTGCCGATTGGGCTAATGCCGGTCGAGAGCAACCGATGAGAGCTCAAACACAGCGTCCTCCCCTTCTTATTGCCGCTCGTCGGGGTAATTTGGCCAGCACAGAGTTCTTCCTTGGTACCGCGCCTGCGCGCTATTACATGGAGTATCTCAGTGCGAACAAGAATGATGAGAGAGTTAAGCGATTGACTAAGTCCAAGTTGGGACTTGAGGGAACACTCTTGACCTGGTTACAAGCGAGAAGTAAGTGCTCCATTTACCCAAGAACTTTAGCAAGCATAACTAACCATATAAAAGACAACCTCGTTCTGCACTGCGCAGTTATGTCTGAACCAAGTGACGAATCCCTCCGTCTGGTTCAGTATCTTGTAGACCATCACCCTGAGTGCATGGAGGTCCGATCAACGGAAGGACTGACCCCTCTCGCCTGGGCCATGTCCCTCCACAAGGTCCGCTTCGCCCGCATCTTGGTTGAAGCCGGAGCCAACCAGGCCGTCCGCGATAAAGAAGCGCGCAATCTCCTCCACCTGATCCTCGTATCAGACAGTGGTCGACTCTGCAAGAACTCCAACCGATTCACGAAGCTTCTAGCCTTGTTGGATAAGCAACTCCTCCCAACAATGCTCATGGAGCGCGCGGGCGATGGCTCAAGAACCCCCTTTGCACGCTGGCTTCACGCGCAACCCCATTTCACGCCAGGAGATCTGGCCATCCCTCGGCCTCCTAACAGTCCCCAAACTGAAGATGAAATCATAACCTCCATGACGAATCTCATCCTGGATCTAGCCATCTCTACGGATCAGAAACATCTGGAGGTCTTCGACGAAGCTGGAAACACACCGGTGCATGATGCTGTCAAGAATGGGTTCCCCCAAGTCCTTGGACAACTCCTCGATCGTCGTCCCGACATGCTCAACCGGGAGAATGCCACTGGAACGACTCCTCTTGAAATGGCTGTTGACGCTTGGGTCAACAAGAGTACCTCTGCGCCACCTGACCATCCCCCGGGATCGTGGCATAACCACCCTGAGTGGTCAAATGCCGTTAGTCGCCCTCCCCGATTGTTTGTCCCCGGTTGCAGGGTCAAATATGATCGGGAGAAGACTATGCTTCGGGTTTGTCAGGAACGGGCTCAGCAGCGGCCTGCAAAGAGAAGACTTGTTAGTCTGTTTGAGGCGAATGAGGTCGCTAAGAGATTGGCTGCAGCGGGACGGAGTACCGGTCGTGGTCGGAATGGTGGCTCTGAGAATGACAATGAGTCTTCGGGTTCTAATGATGATCCTGAAGGGTGGGGAAAGATGAATTCTCATTGGTAGTTTGCTTGTATTAGGGATATATTATCTAGCATGTCAACCTATACTCAATTGTCTTACTTGAATATATCTTACTCATTTCTCTTGCTTCATTCCCGTTTCCTAAAATGATATATGCTTGTTATTGATTATGTATTGGAAGGAGCCTCTTTTCCAATAATATATATCTGGAGGAAGAGAAAGTAGACATATGAAGACATAGAGATTGCTGTAGATGGCGATGACCATCCTTTGTGTCATTTGAGTCAATTACTCTGAATAATATGAGACGCGTTGAAACATAAATTCATATTATAAATTGGTCCAATCCAGCCTTTGTCTAGTCCTCAATGCTGCTCCTCAGCCGGCAGCTTCACCTTCACTGCATCTTCCGCCAGAGCTCTATTCTGACTGTTCTTGCTAGCGATGTACGAATTAATATACTCAGGCACTTCAGCAACCTTGCTATCACCACTTGGAATCGGGGTCCCAAACGTTTCCCAGACCGGAACAACACCAGTCCAGACACTGGAAGTGACCTGCTCGTTGCCTGAGTCCTTACGCTCATCCGAAACACCACCATCACGAATCTTGCCACTGCCATCCACGATCTTTACCTTTAGGATGACAGTCGACTGCATCTCAGCACGGTCCGGCGGCACACGCGAGTGATCCCAGCGGTCCGCGAGAACAGAGTTCGTGATCAATTTCATGGCCCAGAGCTTTTCTTCCTCGTCTGTGACGAGCGTTGCGTAGCCGTGAAGGATGGCAGAGCGGTAGTTGTAGCTGTGCGAGTTGGGCGTAAGCGACAGGATCAGCCCGTCTACTTTGCTTGTTGCCACGCAGATGGGGAGTCCCTCGCCGTCGCTGCAGTTGCGGGCTAGATTCATAATGCGCGAGCTGACATAGCCATGGAGGTAGCAGTCCAGAGGCTCGTCGATGCTCGCGGAGGGAAATTCGAATGATCCCATTTGTCCTATCATTGGGAGGATTGCGGGGAATGGGTCATCAGGTCCAGGGTTGAAGGACACATGGAGGACTTGGGAGTCATTTATGATTGAATGGATTGGACCTAGGTCATACGTGGCTAGAATATAGTCTTAGTAGTTGACTTCGTATTTCTATGGTTATCTCGTACCTCGATGCTTGTACCGGTTGGCAGTGTTGGAAACCTTCTTAGGGTAGGTCAAGGTTCGCCCCATGATGGATATGATAATTTACAGAATGCGTCTTGAAGTTAAGTGAAGCAAGAAGTATGTGACGACGAAGTAAGCATTTAAGTAAATCCATCGATAGATGATGAATCAAGAGTGATCGGATGAGTTAGGGCAGCACGCCTTCAAACACCTATTTTAGCAGGTCCATCCGCACCACTTTTCCCCACACAGGCTAGACTGGAGTATATTGACAGGGCGTGTAAGATCCATCAAATCAAGAACTATGTATACGACAGGGTATAAGAGTGGACAAGAGAAGGGGTCTCCGATGCCAAACGCACCCGAGGTGATTGGCCCACACCGCCGACAGGACCGTAAACCTGGCGATAACAACACCTCCAACCGTTTACTCTTATCAACTTATTTTTTGGAACCTTGAAGCATGGCGGCATGCAGGTTTCTTGTTCGCCAATGCGCGGTCCTTATGCGCTCATCTCGGCCTTTGAGTCATTCATTGCGCCAATTGCCTAGATGCAACCCTCTACCTCGCAGTTATGCTACCTCCGTGGCCGCCGCGGAACTCAAATTCGGCCAGCCGCTGCATGAGACGCATCCCCACATCCTCAGCCCAGGCGAACGTGTGTTATTATCTGTATATATGCTGTCATTTATTTAGCTGATCGTCTTTTGTCTAGTTACGCCCGGAATTACCGCCCTGGAATATGCACAACGTCGATCGAAGCTCGCCAACAAGCTACCCAAAGGCGCGATTGCGGTGCTGGCTGCCTCGGAGGTCAAATACCGCGCGCAGGGCATATTCAATGAGTACCGCCAGGATTCCAATTTCTTTTACTTGACGGGTAAGTTTGCTCAGCAGACTGGTGATGCCGCGGAGGACACCCACTAAATGTTCGCGCGCCGGATAGGATTCAACGAACCGAATGCACTCGCGATCATCGGGAACGACGGCTCTGGGGACAACCATATCTTCCATTTATATGTGCGGGAAAAGGACCCAAGGGCAGAACTCTGGGATGGGGCGCGCTCCGGCACCCAGGCTGCTGTGGATGTCTTCAATGCGGATGAGGTGCGTTAGCCCAAGGATTAGATGAACCATCGCGCTGACACCGAGAACAGACAGGAAACATTGAACGCATCGGGGAGATTTTGCCCAGTATTATCCAGGGAGCGACAGAGGTTTACTCGGACATCCCCACATTTGATGGCTCAAGATCATCCTTGAATCGGTATCTGTATGGGCCAACAGTCGCGTCGGAAAAGCTGAAGAAGGTTATCGACAACCGCAGGGTTAAGCCTTTGAAGCATCTGCTCAATGAAATGAGGGTGTTCAAGAGTGAGAATGAGGTTGTACAGATGCGCCGACTGGGACAAGCGTCAGGGAGAGCTTTCACCGAGGCTATGCGGCAGGACTTCACTCGAGAGAAGGATCTTTATTCTTTCCTCGAGTACCAGTTCAAGGTGAACGGTTGTGATACAAATGCTTTTGTCCCGGTTGTTGCGGGTGGCGAGGTAAACTTTCCGACCTTCAAGGTTAATTTGATACTAACTGTCCTAGAACGCCTTGGCTATTCACTACACTCGAAATGACGATGTATTGAAGTTCGTATGCCTTTTCTAAACTATCGCAGAACTCTGCTCACATTGAATCCAGGGACGGTGATTTGGTTCTCGTTGATGGCGGTGGTGTAAGTTCTCTATCTAAAATCCACAATCACAGTTCTAGGACACTGACCGAAATATAGGAATGGGGAAGCTATATTTCCGACATTACTAGAACATGGCCTGTCAATGGCAAGTTCTCCGATCCCCAGCGGGATCTGTACAATGCCGTGCTCAAGGTGCACCGGAGCTGTCTCGCTCTGTGCCGTGAGACCTCCAATCTTTCTTTAGACAAACTCCATGGCATCGCCGAGAATGGATTGAAAGACGAGCTCAAGTCGCTTGGCTTTGATCTTTCTGGCAATGTATGCATCCAAATTCCCTCCACGTGGAGTATTCTGCTGACTCTGACTAGGCACTGAACACCCTCTTCCCGCACCATCTAGGCCACTATGTTGGCCTGGACGTCCATGACTGTCCTGGGTATTCCCGAGGCTATGACCTGAAGGCAGGGCAATGTATAACAATTGAACCGTTCGTCCCCAGCCTCTTTTACCCCAGACCTGAAACAAGCTAAAATATGTTAGGGGTATCTATGTTCCCAACGATGAACGATGGCCCGCCCACTTCCGTGGGATCGGAATTCGCATTGAAGATAGTGTTTGTGTCGGAGATGAACACCCGATTGTTTTAACCCCTGAGGCTGTCAAGGAGGTATGTTTCAAACTTTAATATAGCCTTACTTTAAGTCGGTTACTAACTTGTACTAGGTTGAGGACATTGAGGCACTGCGTAATTAGATGTGATGTATACAGTAGCCGTCAGATTTCTCAAATTCCCATGTACAATAGCATAAGGCTTCAAAATATCATATTTGGGGCTCTTTATTTTATTTCTTCCAAACTATAATCTACATGTTTGAACGTATCCTTGCCTAGATTCCTTTGTGGTGGCTGGTCTCAAACCCGTTTGGGGGCTGATCAGAAGGCTGGTCCGGGGGGGTTGGAGATAATTGGACATTTTTAGCAGTTACCTCTGAAGAAGATAAAGATTGGATCAAATAGCCCCCGGGAATGAGATTGAGAATGAAGTAGAGAAGGAAAGAAGGTCGAAAAGAATCCTAGTCGCGGTTCAAAGAATGCAATGTTGATGTTCATGCTTCGCGCGCTGCCGTTGGTTGTCGGGCCTCCGCCCAAAACAAACTGAGCTCCACACCACACGACTTGCTTCTTCTTTCTTTCCTCCTCCAGGTCTTCCACCTCGTCTTTCTCTTCCCAACTCTTAACGCACCTCCGATCTATTCCTTTCTCCTTTGGCCCCTTCCTATTGTCTCTTGGGATACAATGTTCATTCTCTGATCTCCTCTAGCCCTCGAAAGACGTGTAGCACGCGTACTTTTCACCGAGTACCCCTCTTTGATATTTGACTACTGTAACTGTACAGCATCTACACGCGTTCTCAACCCTGGGAACTGGTTCCCCAATGGCAACTGTCTTTGTGCCTCCTTCGCCACGAAACTCCATGGCCATGGCGACTCGTCGTCCACTCGCAAACGTGCCGAATGCAACAAATTCTCCACACAGGGCAGGGCTCTTGCCAGTTAAACGAGCTCGCTCTAATCAGATGGAGATCCCGTACGGACAACCACCGCCGAAGAAACAAGTGATGGAGAACACCGAATATGAGACTCGCACCAAAACCTGCCAGAACACGAACCCGGAGTCGAAGCTTTTCGCGCGGCGGTCGAATAATGGGAACCCTAGCGCGTTTGAGAAGAAGCTCGTCGCAGCCAGGGAGAAGGAGCGTCAACCGCAGGTGAAACATGTCAAGGCAGAGAAGGCTCCGGCAGATACCATGGACTCCATTCGACAATGGCAGCGGCACTATAGGAAGGCGTTCCCTCAGTTTGTGTTTTATTTCGATAGCATCCCCGAAGATGTTAGACGGCGGTTCTCTCGCCAGGTTATTGCTCTTGGAGCTGTAAGTTATATTGCCCCATAGAACTTCCAGTCGGTCTTGGTTTTGACTTCATGTCACCCGTCTGCATTGACTGAACATCTTCCATTGGCATCTTCTCTAACTCATTTCAATGCAGCGTGAGGAGAAGTTTTTCTCGCGTCTAGTGACCCACGTTGTTACTTCGCGTGCGATTCCCCCAGAATCAGCCATTCCAGCAGAACCGGAGTCGACTGCCGACGCTAGCAATGACGTCCAAACTGTCAACCCTTCTCTCCTCGAAAGAAATGGCGAGACTCAGCTACATGCTTCTTTGAAAACCGAGACACGTCGTGACCAAGGCACCATGGACATTCTGCAAAGGGCTCGACAGATGGGCATGAAAATCTGGGCGTTGGAAAAGCTCCAGCGCATGATCACTACCATCAATGACAGTGACATTGGTGCACAATATGAACAAGCCGCTCGGAACAAGGCCGCTGGAGGTAACGCTGTGAACGGCAGGGGCGAAAATGATCTTTCTCGTGTTCTTCGCCAGGAACTTCTCAATGGACCTTCCGATCGTGATCCATTGGCATCGATGGAAATGATAATGTTCAAAGGACCATTTGTCTACATCCACGACATGAACGAGAAGACCAAACCAGTCATGGTTCGGGAATACTCCCGAGTCGCTCGACGCCAGGATGGATCTTGGCCACAGTTCCGAAGCGCTCCCCTCGGAAAGTGTCCATTCATAGATGAGCCCCCGAGCAGGAAGGAATATGACCGACACCGCTTGCGCCAACTCAACAAAGAGAAGAAGGCTGCCTCTCACAAGGCGGACGGAACTCGTGATGCGAAGCCAAAAGCAGCTGTGCAAGTTCAAGCCCCCGAATCTGTGACCACAACAGAGATCGCACATTCCCAGCCATTGGCGAAACAAGAGGATCGTGTTTCGCCTCCAATTCAAAATGAAATTCAAAAGCCAACATTTGATGAAACCCACGAGCGAAAGAGTTCTGAAAGTTTCATTCCTCCCCATTTCCCTCGCACTGGGCCCTTCTATACTGGACGTGAGCCTGCTGCCTCAGGTGTTCAGCCGTCGAATATGACATCCGCAATTCGCTCACAAATGATCTCATCTACTGCCGCAGCACCTGGCGCGAAAGCCGGGCTCAGCAAGGAGGTTCATGGACTCAAGCGAAAGGTTCTCGAGAAGGGCACCGGCGGGTTTGCAGCGGGGTCGATGGCTGCTCCTCAGCGTCGTGGTGAAGGGTTTACCACGGTTCCAATGAAGACCAACATCAATCCCCCTGGAAAGCCCAACCTTGTCAATGAAAATGAAGCAAAGCAATCTGAGGCGGCTGGCACAAAGAGACAAAGGGATGACAAAGATGAGCAAAAGAAACCCGAACGCCGCCGAGATCCCAAGCCTGGCTATTGCGAGAACTGTAGGGACAAGTTTGATGATTTTGAAGAGGTATGGTCTATGTCGCTCTGTTGCTTAGCTCATTATAGATATTGACCAGTCTTTTAGCACACCCTGACTCGGAAACATCGCCGGTTTGCTGCAAACTCGACGAACTGGGCTGAACTTGATGCATTACTCTCCGAAATTCAGCGTCCTCTCAAGGGCGAATATGAATATGATGAATAGATTTGCTGTTTCTCACAGCATTCCATGATTTGCTTTGGACCTCGGCCTCTATCCGATACAACGTCCCATCCAGGTGCAGGCCAAGCTTTTATTTTCCAGTTATCTTTCTTCTGCACGTTGCAATTTTTATTTCCGTCATGCCTGATTCGGATCTCACCTGATTCGGATCTCAAAACCTCGCATAACCATACCCTCGGCATCGACACATGCATGGTGGCGTTTTTTTTCTTTCCTCTTTTTGATTTACCATGCATCAGCAGTACCAGTAACCAGTCCCTCACCGACGGTCTGACCTGCTTGCCTTGACCTCGATGGAGATCGTCCACTCCTTTACATCTTTTTTTTTCACTTTCTTCGAATGTATTCAATATCCGATTTTAAACCAACATCGCATCACCTTCGAAATCGTGAGCCGACCTCCATCAACCGCCGACGGCAATTTTGGATACTTGCATTTCTCGTGTTGTACCAAGAACAACTCATCGTCGACGCTGTTTGCCACATGCAATCAGCTTGTCCTTTACGGTCTTTAATTGTGGCCGGTTACGATATACCGAAGGTATAATGAACGATTTAGCATGGACTGAAGGGTTCCTAACCTTGCATTGCATTCCGTTCTAACAAATCCTTATCCCCCTTTTTGGTCCTACGGGGCCATATTTTCTATCAACAGCTTTTCCTTGTGTCTTTTCACCGGTGGTGTGTTGCTTCCCGATGGCTGGGGCTTGTTACCCAGCGGAGGCGGCCGAGTCTAAACAGAGACTTTTCCTTTCTCGTGACATTACTTACCTGAATAAGCATTTATTCGACTCGATGATCTGTATGCAGTTTGTATCGTGCTAATTGAATCGTCTGCTATCAATTAAATTCTGAGCTACATGTAAACCAACATCAGCCCATAGATGTAGAAAGTACTTGGTGTACGGCCCCTCACTTAGCCCAATGCGGTAATCACCTCGGCGAGACGTAAACTGCAGGCGGTGGTAGTAGTGCCAGGCGGTGAGCACAAAGGAAAATGCATCCCAAAGCTTCCAAGGCTGGTATCAACATAATAAAAGCTTGATATGGAGTATTCCTTTCATAAAGAGACATTTATTACACTTGGGTATATACGTAGGCACCAAATCCAACTAAATGCACCGTTCCTGAATCCAATTGCCTACATAACAGCCCCGCAAATCTCGGCACTCGGCCCCGTAATCAGCGGCAGTAAATAAGATCTTCACCTTCAGGAATTTTTGATGCTCCCATCTACGCCGCATAACCCAGCACGTTAGTCCGGACAGAAGGATATCTGAACATACAAAACCGACAGCTCCGGACATATTCCTCATATACAAACCCGCAAGCTCTTCGGTTTTTCCTCTCGCGCGACCTGAATTGGAAACCTTCAGTTCGCCGCTGAGGTCATCGCCATTCCCTTTGTTATCGCCACTTCTACAGCTCCCATGAGATACAACTAGTGCATATAACAGTGTACACCGAGGAACTATTGAGATATATACTTACTGGACATACACAATCTCGGTGTTTTGATATCGTGCCGTCAGGTGCATTGCGCCACTCCGTTTTTTTTTCATAATCACACACCCACACAATGTCCGCGCCTAGCTCTGCGTTACGGCGCACAGCAATCGCTTCTTCGTCGCTGCTGAGGACGAGAGTCATCCCCGCTACCGCTATTCGAACACAAGCTACACACACCCTTCTCAATTCCCGTTGTCCTGCCCTGTCCTCCCACGTACCGACCCCACACTCCCTCTCCCAAACCCGACATAGTTCCTACTCCGCGCCAACACCCAGTGAGAATGGAAAAGGGCGAAAGAAGGTTACTATCCAGACGCTCCAGAACATGCATAAAAAGGGGGAGCCGATCACGATGCTTACGGCGCATGATTTCCCCAGTGCTCATGTGGCAGATGCGTCGGGGATGGATATGGTCTTGGTAGGGGATAGTTTAGGGATGGTAGCTCTTGGGCTGGAAAACACGACAGAGGTCATTATGGAAGAGATGATTCTGCATTGTCGAAGTGTAGCGCGGGCGACGAAAGCCGCTTTCATTGTAAGTTGTCGGGATTCCTTGACTGGCCAGCGCCACAGTACCATGAATTAACAAGCCGTGTTCCAATTCCAGATTGGAGATCTACCGATGGGGTCATATGAAGTCTGTGCGGAACAAGCCATTGAGTCATCTCTGCGCCTGATCAAGGAAGGCCGTGTACACGGCGTCAAGCTGGAAGGGGGTCAAGAACTCGCGCCCACAATTAAGCGCATCACACAAGCCGGTGTTCCGGTAGTAGGCCATGTCGGTCTCACGCCACAGCGTCAGAATGCCCTCGGTGGCTTCCGTGTGCAAGGCAAGACGGCTCTCGGCGCGACGAAGCTGCTACGCGATGCATTGGCTATGCAAGAAGCTGGCGCGTTCATGCTTGTGCTTGAGGCGATGCCGTCGGAGGTTGCATCGATCATCACGCAGAAGCTGCGGATCCCGACTATCGGCATTGGTGCTGGGAATGGCTGCTCTGGACAGGTTTTGGTGCAGGTTGACATGACTGGGAATTTCCAGCCTGGTCGGTTCGTGCCGAAGTTTGTTAAGCAGTATGCGGATGTTTGGGATGAGGCTGCGCGTGGTATTTCGCTGTATCGCGATGAGGTTAAGAGTCGGGCGTTTCCTTCAGAGGAATACACGTATCCGATTCCGAAGGATGAGCTTGCTGGGTTCCAGAAAACGGTGGATGAGGTCTTCCGGGAAGCATGATGTGTCTGGTTGCCATCTTTTTCTTATGACCATTTCTTGCATGTTCTGTATTAAGCATTGTCATCATCATTTGTACATAGCATCATTCAGCATTTGCGCTGGTTGTTCATAGCTTGCTCAGCCGAATGCTGGCGTCATTGAATAAGCGACGATCAATTGGTCGTCCGTCTTAAAACACTATTATGAAGTTAGCTTTTAAATTGTCATGTGTAGATATGGTAGAATAGTCGAGTTGACACTTACCCTCCATAGTCCACCCATTCCTTCATCCAGCCCCGGCGCAAACACACTATTAACATAACAAAAGACAGAATCGGTCTCTTTGCAGTCCAGCTTCTTACGCAGAAACTTGACAACCGTTTCGAATTTCTGAGAAGCGCTAACCTTGAACACGCGGTTTTTCAGAATCGGTGCTGACGGCAGAGGCTGGAAGCGAACAGTAACTGAATCATCGTTAGTTGAAATCTCCCATTTGTTGACATCGCGGTCGTCCAATCAACCCAAAGCTCGTCGGAAAAGGCGGGGTGTTACCTTTCCCCGAATCAATACTCTCCACGTCGGCGAGTGCCTGGTGCGCATCACGGGGTAAATTGGTTAGCATGACCGATGCGGACATATTCATCGGTAGATCGGCGCCATGGTCATCATCTGGAATCGGGGCGTTTGCGGAGCCGTTGGGTGGTGTGCCTGAGCTCTGGGGTTGGCGCGGGCTTGGGCGATGGCTGGGTGTGGTTTGTAGATTTGTAGTTGAGGGGCTCTGTGGAGAGTGTGTTGGAGAAGTTGGATTCATTGTGTAAGGTGGTACAAAGAGAGGAAAGAGAAGGAGAAGGGAGTAGATGGAATGGGGTAGGTGGAAGTTGGGAGTTGAAGGTGGGGAAGATCTTATAACGTTAGAGCTTGGCCCGATCTACGCTTTGATTGTCAACACGAGCTACCTAGATACCCAAGTATTCAACCAACCTTTTAGGGGTATCGCAGGTATAAACTGACTTCATATAAACACATCACATGAATTTCATCGGGAACCCCTTTTTATCAAGTTCACTCAACTACAGACGTTGAAATCTCAGAGATACCATCTTCTTTCCTACATCATCAGGTCACAAAAAAGTGGAAATGGGCAAGCTTAGAGCATATATGAAAGCGTGCGGGGGCTTAAATGGTGACAAGACCCCTATGGAAACCCGCCTCGAAGAATCCGGGGAAATAAATATTCTCCAAAGATATCGCTTGGTGGAACACTGGAATGAATACGAGTATAGGCCTCCGAATATCTCGCACAAGCCTCTGTTTGTAGAGGAAGACCTCCGAGAAGTGGTTCAAGAGGAGATATCTATCAAAGAAGGACCCGACAGCCTCATCAAAGATTCTCAAAAAAAGACTTGACTTTTTGAATATTCAACACTGGATTCTAGCGCAAAGATGGTGGCATTGCCGATCCTTGCTACAGGATGGGTTTCAACTAAGCGTGTTTGAGCTCTGGCGGTCTCATGCTAGGTGGTATATGCACCGTGTGCTTGTTGAAGACTGTGCTGGCCGAGAAGGATGCTGTGCTCGTGGATGTGGCTGTTGTCGTAAGCGCAAGATTGATCCTATGCGCAAGCTTGGAGTTGGTCATTGTACTTTTGGCTATGGATATTGTTGGAGATTTCGCGGCTTTGATATTTCCGAAGAAGATAAGAAATCACTGAGGAATTTCGTAAAGAGGTGGGCGGTCTTGCTCGGCATTGGAACACGCGAGTTACACCAAGCTATTAGGATTCAGGGCTTCGGCACCAAAAAGGAATAAGTCTAGCTGATTGAACTCAACACACATGTTGCTACTTTATTTGGAATGATACATATGTACCCCATATGTAGTCTACAAAGCAATGTCCTATGAAGAACTCCTCATTACATCCATGAATAAATTATTGGTCTATAAAGCGTTTGATAAATTGATGTTTCCTTTCAATTCTTACATACCGCTTTCCATTAAGTTTGCCCTCTTTTCTAGCCTCCTTTCTGGCCTCTGTCTGACCCTTCTTTATAGAATAAATGCCCACCCACTCGTCATCAGCGAGCTCATTTGTCTGGCCAGAGAAAAAGGCGGCTCCGTCATGAATAGCGTTGCCACCAACCTGATCTAGATAATCGTAGTTTGCTTTTTGGCCGAAGGGCGTCACATCTTTTCGCTGTTGCAGCGGTTGTTTGATCGGTATATCCTTTGGTTGACATGCGCTGTGCAGGAATAACACGCTGACCCATAACCTAGCTGCCTTCCCATTCCTTCTCTCGTCTGACTTAGGTCTCCGGCCCGCCTCCGCGCGGGGCAGAAGTGTTTCTGCACACGAGTCGTGTTCTACTCCGGCGACGTTGAACTGCGTTGAACTGCGGCGGATCGTAACGCTGGGTAAGGACCCCATTTTATATCTCTATCATCTAGCTTAAGATAAGTAGTTCTATAACCCAGATGTCTACCTGAATAAATAAATGTATCAGGACACGCTGCCTATGGGTTCTTCAGCTCTAAGCGGGTGAACTATATGCAACTTGGTCTCCCAATGCCATGCCCGAATAGATAAAGTGAGCGGTGCCAGTTATCAACATTTAGAAAACAGAAGATCCGACGTTATATTGATAAACCAAATAAAAGGAAATATTCAATTATCTAGAGGAACCACTTTGATATCAAGTAGGATGCTCCAAAGATACGTACGTTCATAAATAATGCCGTATCACGTACGTACTAAAACGACGATGTATACGGCGTCAACAATCCCATATTCTCGGACCAGTCGCATATGCTCGGACTGAGACTTAATTCTCTGAACACACTTGCTACACGAAGTATTCAACCAAACCGAGGACTCCATATTCATTTCCCTCTCAACACGACTACTCCCATCCATTCCTTTATCACTCTATCAACCATGGCGTCTGTCTATCACGGCCAGTGGGCTTTCAACGGCCGCAAATTCTACGTAACTACCTCTTCCGGCGAGGTCCACCCACGCGCAACGGATACCGAGCTGGATGTCCTTTTCACTGCACCAATTGGCCACCAAACCAACGTACCCGACTATCAAGACCACTGGTACGAAGCCCAACTTCTGCATTTCGGACTCGCGCCGACGAAGAGCAAAGCAGCAGCCAAGATGAGATTGATGGATGCTTTTCAGGACGGTACCCTAGAAATTCCAATGGAAATACTCCGGATTGAAGCAGACCTGCGAAAGAACTGGCTCAAACAAGACCTGGAATCCCATCTCCTAGCCAGCAGTTCCATCCGCCAACCTTCACTTACTCCTACCAACCCGGATGCCATGGAAATCGACACGCCTGACGATGCCGCCACCCAGAAGCCGGAGGGTGTTGACGAGAGCAGTGTTCTCGGTGCTGGCTTGGCCGGCGGAGCTGGTATGCAAGACAACCTGCAACTGCCCCATGCTCACCCAAAGAGAAAGGATGTTAACAACGTGGAGTTGCCGACCCGCCCTATGAAGACTGCTAGATGCCGTGGTGAGACTGGTGAATCCGACCTGTAGGTCCACGTCAATGTCAACCCGGACAGTGAGGCCTTTCACCAAGTTGAGTATCAAACCGTACCTCAGGTGCACCAGACTACTTATGGAATGGTAAGCATCTCTTTTCCTACACAAGAAACGAAGTATAAGCATCTCTGACTAAAGCACACAGGGAACACAGCTTCCCCCGCCCAGCCTAATGGGTGCCGACGGTGCGAGCGTTTAAACGGAGGTGAAATGAGCCGGGGACATGGGGGGAGGAGGGTGAATGAGAATTTGAGAATTTGAGAATTGTTTAGAGTCAAAATTGAGTCAGAGGAATTTGATGAACTTTCAGTTTATTCAATCAGTCTATGACTGTGAGTTCTCAATTGTAAAATCAGAGTAGTTCCCCTTAGTTTTCAACAAGCCGTGCCTTTGTGCATCAACAATGGAGAATTGAAAGGGCGCATTAACAAGTCCGATTGACTTTTCCCATTGCGGATCCAGATACCATGGCTTGATCAGCATGACCTCAAAGACTGTGGGTTGTTGAATCTGATGTAGCGGTATAAGCCAATCATCCAAACGATTTGTGACATGTGGATACAAATGAATGGTCAAGGTCTTCAGACCAGGCAGTTTCGTTGCGAGAACCTGGCAGCATCCCTTCCAACTTGGACCGCCAGGGTCCGGAAAACTGAGCTGCAAAGTACGAATCAGGCTCATGCGATGTGGTAGAAGTATATTCGAAAAATCAACGATTGTATCAGTGTGGTTAAAGAGGAACGTGTTCTTTTGATAGATGATATCAATGGCCTCCAAGTATCTGGTATACTACTAGTTGGTTATATTTGAACATTGATGGAAATATATGTACTCACACTCTTCGACAGGTTTGTAAAAGTGGTACAAAATTGACTTTTCTCGTATCAAAATTCCACTCGGAGTTTTCGTGATAATATGACCCATAGTTCATGTGGGTAACTGCGCTACCCACAGGCCGACGAGCAAGCGGTCCCCAGCAATGATGACTGCATGGACAGAAATTACGAGTTTCGCTGCATAAAATCCCAACAATTTGCTTCTGGAATCGTTTCCATTTGTGCTGGTTTGGTAGGACAATATGAAGCATACAGCTACAAAGATAATGTTCCCAAATCAGAAGTCGGACTTCGGTAGGTAGACATTCGAATAGAGGAGACTGGGTTTGTTCGAAGGTAGATTGCTGCTCGCGTCGTTTTGAAAGTTTTGAAAGTGATAATCGCCATCCATGACTAGTTGAGTGGACTTGAGGTTTGAGATGTTTATTGTTCGGAAGTGGTGGAGTGAGTGGCCTGGGGCGGGGTTTTGGAGTGAGGTTTGTTAGGTCGTGATTTTGAATCTGGGATTTCTTTATCAAGGCGGATTTTCTCCCATCCAACTCATCGCCTATGTTCAAAGGTACCATTCTTGAAACTGATAGAAAGTGAAGCTAAAGGTCGGGAGGACGTGTTCAATGATATATTAACTAAACGCGCGCTAACGTTACACGCACGCGTTTGATAAGGCTGAGCTTGTACCACCAAACTACATATGTACACCAAGAAACAAATAATTTGTACATAGCAAATCACCTCTCTGATACAAACCTTCTCCAGTCACGTAAAGAAGATAGTATCTGCACTAGATTATGTTTCTTTTTGACCAAGCTCTAAACTTGACGACCCAAATATATATATGCTCGGTCTCATACATCGCGAATTTGTAACCAATTGCTGAAATCCAATAGGCAGGCACTTAGGCCTTTGAGAACCCCGCTTTAGCTGCCTATGCTGTAGCTGGGACTAGAGGGGTTGCCGTTGTCGCTGCCCCAGTGCTGGTAACAGCCCCAATTCTTCGGGTCTAGGATTCAACGCTGGTGGTGTTGCTGTAGGTATTTACCATTCCAAGACATGATACTCATCTAGCGGTAAGTTTTGTTAACCTTTTGCCACAGGACAAAGTGCAGGTGCAGGTGGTTTGGGTTCGGTGGCTGTAAATGGCGTTGTGCAGGCATTTGGTCCGCTCACTAGTATGGGAAGTGCTGGGTTTGTCCGGTTTAAGGGCAATGGGATTGGCTGAATTATTTCTGTTTGGTTATCCTACTCTATGTAGCAAGTAGGTTACCTCTTGCTGTATTTCCAGAGTACTCAGTCTTGAAAATGAGCTTGGATATCTTTAGAGGCTCTTGGTTTGAAATATGCTGCATAGTTCTACTAGCGAGGCTTCTACAACTTAGCAGTTGATTAGGAATGCAATTTCTCTTCTGCATTGAATCCCTTATTACGTACCCATATCGAGTATTAGTTTCAGTAATATATTTTTATTGGATTGGTAGACCTGTCTAGGAGAATAGAATTGAACTATAATATACTAAAATTGACAAGATAACTCCTGCTAAACTGTAATTTTTTTTTGCTCTCCCGGGACAGAAAGAAAAAAAGAAATATGATACCAGTAAATTAACCCTTAATAAATACTAATGAAGTGATTGGGATGTCTGATTGTTTATTGTGACGCCTTATAGATCAGGTGTTGATGCGGTATAAATTCCCCGCGTCTCCACTTCAGCTCCCTTCGATAAGCTCAGCTCTGCCAACTTCACCCCTGTCACACAAAGGCCATGGCTTCAGCAAAAAGCGTTGTGCCAGCTGCTGACCTCCAGTCATTTACTGAATATCTGGGAGGCTGCAAACGTATCGTTGCTCTTCTTGGAGCTGGAATCTCAGCATCATCAGGCTTGCCCACCTTCCGTGGCGCAGGCGGACTCTGGCGTTCCCACGATGCAACCTCCCTCGCGACTCCAGAAGCCTTCGATGAGACCCCTGGTCTGGTATGGCAGTTTTACAGCTATCGACGACACATGGCCTTGCAGGCTCAGCCCAACAAAGCACACTACGCCTTAGCGGAGCTATCGCGAAGGAATGAAGACTTCATCACTTTGAGTCAAAACGTTGACGGTATGAATGTACGGCGAGACATTTTGTTTTTCTTGACTAATAAATCCCTCGCGTTTCTTCTAGGTCTCTCCCAGCGAGCGGGCCATCCCTCAAAGCAACTACACCTCCTTCACGGCACTCTGTTCAACGTAAAATGCACCAATTTTTATTGCAACCACAGCGAAGACAATTACACAGACCCCATAGTTCCTGCCCTCGAAATCCCAAAGAAGAGTTCAGGCCTCAACCCCTCTGCGACCGACAAGACTGGCGAGGAAGCGTCGAAAGCGATCGTAGAGGCACTAGATGAGACAAGCAACGAAATCGACATATCCGATGCCAGCAATCCCATCGCCGCAGTGAACAGAAAGGACCTACCTCAATGCCCGAAATGCAAGGATGGCTTGCTCCGGCCTGGAGTTGTGTGGTTTGGAGAACCCCTACCGGAGAAAACGCTCAGTACTGTCGATAAGTGGATCGCGGCGGGTCCGATCGACCTATGTTTGGTGATTGGCACCAGTGCGAGGATCTGGCCGGCTGCGGGGTATGTCCATGAGGCTCGTTCACAGGGTGCCCGAGTTGCTGTGTGTAATATGGACCCCAAGGATACACCGGGTGAGCTTCATTACGGTGACTGGTTCTTCCAGGGAGATGCGGGTGTTATTTTGCCTGAGATACTCAAGAGCGTTATTGGCGAGATCTGAGCTTTTATGTGGGTATTGATGATTGATATGAGAACGGCGAATTTTGATATTGGGATTTTGCACAAACTGGCGATAATGGGACACATGATGGGCGATAAGGAGTCCTGGGTTTCATAGAATTTGCTATTTTTTGCTATTTTAAGGTGGATCGATGGAGTTTTACCATTTTCATCAAAATATTAGGCCAATCGCAGAGACTCCGAGATACCAATGCCGTATACAAATGCCGATCACGCCTCGGGTACTCCAATGTAATAGCCCCATAAAATGGCGGAATTAAAAGATCTACAATTGCAAATGATTGGCCTGACCTTGGGAATCTAACTATATTGCCATGCGGGGTATACGGAGCTTGCATAGAGACATTTAAGACATGTAAGGGGCTGATATTTAAACATTCAAACATTTAAACTCGGACATCCCCTCTACCAATTGTAACCCAATTGCAAGACATCCGGAAATCCATAATGAAGTCGACAAATACAGTACCCCAAAAACGAAAGAAGGTAGAGAGCGATGACGAGGACGAGATTGTCAAAGATGGCAGCCTCACATCGGCTGCGGAGAATTTCTTCGAGGCGCTGTGTATGTGATGAAGGCACCACGTAGTCCATTCGACAGGTTGGAAAGGCTAACCTTTCTCGCAGCTGAGGCCGGCATCACTCACTGCTTTGTCAACCTGTGAGTCCCTGTATTAACCACTAATTTGATGTGTTTTGACCGATCCGATAGGGGGAGCGACCATCCCGCGATGCTGGAAGCCATGATCAAGGCTAAGCAAGGTGAGTACCGGAGATATTATTCAAACAACCAGGGCTAAATTATGGTTAGAAAACAAAACTAATTTTCCAAACATCATTACCTGTCCTTCTGAGCTAGTTGCGCTATCAGCTGCACTGGGATATGCCCAAGCTACAGGAGTTCCGGTAGGTGACTGTGTCCATCATATCAATTGATATTCGCTAACTTCTCGCAAGCAATGCGTAATTGTCCACGTTGACTGCGGCACTCTTGCTATGGGACAATCCATACATAACGCCTCCGTTAGCAGAGTTCCTGTCCTGTGCTTTGCTGGCCTAAGTCCTTTTACCCAGAATGGCGAAATGCTGGGTTCCAGAACAGAGTAAGCTAGCGCATGACAAACATTTTACATTGCGACTACTAACACTACTACAGATTTATCCATTGGCTACAAGACGTACCCGATCAAGCAGCGATTGTCCGACAATACTGCAGATACACAGGTGAAATCAAGACAGGACGCAATATCAAGCAGATGGTCTCGCGAGCTTTGCAGTTTGCTACATCTGATCCTAAAGGCCCCGCATATCTAATGGCTGCGAGAGAGGTACTCGAGGAAGTAAGTATTGACAGTCCTCGCATGAATTAAAATGACTACTAACCAAATCTGCTTTGCAGCGTGTGGGAAAAGAAAGCCTAGACGGGGAGATTCTCAGTTCAATCACTCCAAGTGCATTGCCAGAGCAAGGTAAGATGGTACCCATCCAATCTATAACCTCACATCACTGACAACAACAGAGGTGGAGTTAATTGCCAAGTCGCTCATGGGCGCAAAACGACCGGTTGTTATCACAAGTTATCTTGGTCGGAATCATAAAGCACCGGCCCTCTTGGCTGAGCTTTGTGATAAGCTTCCAATAACCGTCGTGGAGATGGTGGGCTCGGACGTTTCTCTGCGAAGTGACCATGAAGCATACCGCGGTGTTACCGTCACTACTCATTCGGAGGTTCTTGAAGCTGATGTTATTCTTATTCTTGATTGTGATGTACCTTGGATTCCGACTGCTGGGAAGCCTCGTGCGGGTAAGGATACCCAGAAAGCAATGTTCGATCATGTTCTGACAGGTGCTGCAGGCACCAAGATATTCCATCTAGATGTCGATCCGCTGAAGCAACAGATGCCACGTAAGTTCTCATATCGACAGCAGGTCTGACCCTTGCCTACTTTCCTGCTAATAATTATATATCAGTCTTTTCAATCAACGCCACTCGCAAGCTCAAGGTTGGCTGTGGAATTGCGCTTGAGCAAATTAATTCTTTCCTAGATCAACAGGATATCAATCAGGCCAAGTATTCCCTGCAGTTTGAGGAGCGTTCAAAGAACTACAAAACCTGGAGGGAAGCCCTACACGCACTTGAATTGCCATCGGAAGATGGTGTAGTCAGTGTACCATACCTGACATCAAGGCTGCGAAATTCTCTCCCGAAGGACACTATTTATGTTTTGGAGGCTGTAACTAATGCCGGACATCTCATCCACCATTTGAACTTGACAAAGGTATGAATGTACTCATTCCAAACGGCTGCTTCAATACTAATGAAATTTCAGCCCGGAAGTCTGGTTGCTAGCGGCGCAGGTGGTCTAGGATGGGGAGGTGGTGCAGCGCTGGGCGTCAAGCTAGGCAAGCCCGGTTCATTCATTTGTGCAATGTAAGTGTTCACAACTGTCAGAGCACATATCAATTATCTAATAACCACCCAGCGTCGGCGACGGAGTCTACTTATTCTCACAGATGGAAAGTGTCTATTGGATCGCTAGACGCTACGATATCCCTTTCCTCCTCATTGTGCTCAACAACGGCGGATGGAATGCACCAAAGGTGTCTGCGCTTCTGGTCCACAAGGAGGGGTTATCGTCGAAGTCAAATAGACGAGGTCAGTCAGATTTAAGCTAAATATATTTTGCACAGTGAGCTGATTTACCGCAGATCTCAATATCTCGTTCGACCCTTCTCCCGATTACCCCGGAATCGCCACTGCAGCCGGAAAGGCGTGGGGTAAGACAGTTACCACGCAAAGCGAGCTTGATCCTGCTATCAAGGAGGCGACGGATGTTGTTCAGGGTGGGAAATGTGCTGTGATTGAGGTTTCGTGAGTACATAGGTATAATAGACCTTTACTGACTACCAGCTGACCTTGATATATAGTGTTCCGTCTATGTGGAAGGAGAACTAGCGGAAAGAGTTAGATGGGCGATTGGGGAAGCCGGTTCTTATTTTCCAGCTCCACGAGGAATTTCAGTCATTTGTGGGTGCTCTATGCTGAAGCTGCGATATCACCCATGCGTGATATAATACACAAATAAAGAAGTCAACCCAGGCATACCAAGGTCAGTAAACGGACCTGATCACATAGCGGGAACGGGAAAGTAGCTCCAGGCTCAAGGACTCTTGGAAGATGTTTGGTTTCCTTTCGCTGTTTTTAGAGGGCAAAAATGGATGAATTACTCAAAACGAGTAAAGGAAGCCAGTAGAATTTCCATTTTCTCAAAGTTGACAACCCAGAGCTGGCTGTGTTCATCGATAGGGGAGTTTCTTTAGGTTGGATTTGGATGGTAGCAAATGAGCGGTTAATGGTGAGCTCATATACCTTGACCTTCAACACTGCTGGATCATTCTGGGCACTATAGGTATATTGGTTCAACATAGCTGCTCATGACCAAAAACTAGAAGGACCAAGCGTAGCGAGATAGCCTTCAAATGCTGCAGTAGAATAGAACATAAGAGGCAGCCCATGATTTCAATTCTCTCGACGTAATGGTGGTGATATTGTGTTTCTGGAAAGAAGACAAGAGAGATAGAGTTAGGTATGGTGTTGAGCTGAATGATAGTGATGAACTGAAGAGTAGTGTTGTTGAAATGAAGAGATAGATCAAGGCGAGAGTAATCTGGGAGTGAATTTATAAATGGAGAAGGACTTGGCATCTGTCAACTGTAATTTCCATAATCTGATCATGTAGATGACTCGCTCGAGGTGATTCCGGAAGACACTATATCTTTTCCATATATAGCCTCTGATAGCTACCTGCCAATGTGAGCCCAAAGTTCAAAGTTCAAGGTAGTGAAAGGTTTCCATAAGCGAAGTGTGCTCTGTATCAACACACGTAGTGGTCCAAAGGGGCATGGCTGTTAAAAACGTGGATCATTGAGTCCTCACCAGGTATTTAGATATTTGAGAAGCATATAAGCGACCTCGTCTTCATGGACAAGAAATAATGGTTGCGGATAGTAAGTAGATGTGCCGGTTTATAGTCAAATGTGCCTGGCTGCCTGAGGCATCATCCGTTGCTAGGCCGACGGCAAAGCAAACGATAACCTTTTGGAATCGATAACGGCCATTTTCCCTTTGATGTTTGCAAACCCCCACCATCGACAAAACACATCGGATTCAAGGCATCATCCAAGGGTCAGTTCCTCCCATGCTGCTGAATTCGTTAGTTTTCTTTTGGGACTTGAAATTCCAATTCCCAGAGGACCCCAGCCTCCACGGACTGGTCGAGCTCGCACACAGAACACAAAGAACACAAAAGACTAACGTCAAATTCCAGTGCTCTGAGATTCCTCTTCGCGTCTTGATGCCCAAAGATCAGATTATTCCAGCCTTGATCATCTAGTGAATTCAAAGAAAGCAACTTATTTCCTACCTGACAAGATACCATCCAACCCACACCGCTCGTTAAAACACGATGGCTAGAGAAAGCACCGCGCCAATGGAGCCCCTCACCCCAGGAGGAAATCCAAACGCTCAGCGTCACCCCGCACATGTCCAGGAACCTGAATTCGGAAAACCCTCGCCGATCGGCCCCCCACAACACAGATCAAACCACCTTTTCAACATTCCGAAGCCAAATCAATCCCGTGCCGAACATCATCGACCCGCCCCTCGACCGCAGCCACAACAGCAGCCACAATCGCGCCATCAAGGGCAATCGAGTGCTACGCCTCACGCTTACCGCCAACCGGGCACGTCGGGTGCCCCATTCGCTACGCCGTCGGTGAAGCGAAGCGAGCCATGGGACCCATTCAAGCCGGTGGCACCATCAGCCTACAATAACCCCCGCGGAGGATTTCAACACGGTGCAGTGAGTATCAAGCGACCTGAAAATGTCACCTGGTCAACTCCTCGGGCCCCTAGGCCTATCTATCAATCCAAGCCTGTTCCACCGAAGGTCGGAGGCGCGTCGAAGAACATACAAAAGTTCATTGATCTCACACGCGACGACACCGATCCTGCTCCAAGAGCATCGGCCTATGCGACGCCGAGCTTCGGGGCCATGGATATGAATGGCTACGTGGATACGGCTATGGCAAATGAGAATATCAAGGCTTTGCTTGAAGGTGCATTCGAGGACGAGGAGGACAAGGCTGAGCCGAAACGTAAGGGCAAGAAGAAGAAGGGCGGAAAGAAGTCCAAGAAGACGACACAGAAGAAGCAGAAAGATGAAGTAGTCGTGGACAAGAAGAAGGAACAAGCGATTGACGACCTTGACGATCTTGCTGCTCAACTTCAAGGGGTCACGGTCAACGACCCGAAGGAGAAAGATGCCAAGTCTGAAGACGATTCATCTGCCAAGGTTGAGCAAGACGATAAAGTTGCCAAGCTAGATGAAGAAGACGAGGCAGAGGAGGAGGAGGAAGAGGAGGAGGAGGAGGATGACTCTGACGATGAAGATAAGGGGATCATCCCAGGCTTAAAAGTTACCCTTCTTCCCCATCAAATTGAAGGTGTCAGATGGATGAGTGATAAAGAGACTGGCCGAAAGACGTCCAAAGGAATATTCCCCAAAGGTGGAATCCTTGCAGATGATATGGGTTTGGGCAAAACAGTGCAAACGATTGCTTTGCTACTCACAAATCGCAAATCCGACCACGAAGACAACGATAAGAACACCGAATCCGAGGGCAAGACGACCAAACTGCCCCCGAACTGCATTGCCTCCACTCTGGTGATTGCGCCCCTTGCACTCATCAAACAATGGGAGGCGGAAATCAAGGACAAGGTCGAGCCATCCCACAAGCTGAGTGTTTGCATCTATCACGGTACAACACGCGCAAAGACTTCGACGACGTTGGACAAATACGATGTTGTGATCACAACATATGGAACCCTTACCTCCGAATTCAACTCATCAGCATCAGACAAGGCCAAAAAGGCCGGCATTTTCGCTGTTCATTGGTACCGTATTATTCTTGACGAGGCGCACACAATCAAGAATCGTAACGCCAAAGCCACACAGTCAGCATATGCATTGGATGCTCAATACCGCTGGTGCCTGACAGGAACGCCACTGCAAAACAACCTGGATGAGTTGCAGAGTCTGATCAAATTCCTTCGGGTGAAGCCCTATGACGATTTGGCTGCATGGAGAGACCAAATCAGTCGGCCTTTGAACAACGGCCGTGGAGGTCTCGCTATTCAGCGACTACAGGTCTATCTGAAGGCCTTTATGAAACGGCGCACGAAGGATGTCCTCAGGCTGAACGACAATGTGAAGCCTGGTGAAGAAGGCGAAGATGGCAAGCCAAAGAAGTCTTCTAATGGATTCCACATCACCAAGCGTGAGGTCATTAAGGTGTCTCCCGAATTCATGCCTGGGGAGTTAAACTTCTACAAACGTCTCGAACAGCGGACGGAAAATAGTCTTGAGAAAATGATGGGTGGCGCTAAGGTCGATTATGCTGGAGCCTTGGTCTTGCTGTTACGTCTTCGCCAGTCTTGTAACCACCCAGACTTGGTCAAGGGTGATTTGGCCAAGGACAAGGACATTCTCTTGCAAAATGGCAGTACGAGCAGCCAGTCAACACAGTCAAAGCCGGATGATCTTGACAGCATTGCCGATCTTTTCGGGGCAATGAGCGTTGTCGCAAAGAAATGCGATGTTTGCCAAACGGACCTGAGTCCAAGCGAAATCAAGGACGGTGGCAGTCGATGCGGCGAATGTGAAGCCGACCTGAATACCAATGTTGTGGGCATAGATAAAAAGAAGAAAAAGAAGTCGAAGAAGAGCCACAAGGAGCTTGATGTTCCGGATTCCCCATCAGCCCGCAAATCCGAAGCGCAAATCGCTCGTTCTCGCAAAAATCGACGAGTCATTATTGACAGTGACGACGAAGATGAAGAAGAAGGCGATTGGGTCGTACCTGACGACCAGCGCAAGATGCCTAATCTCGGTAAAGCAGGTGGTTCAGACGATGAAAATGCTGAAGGAGGTGGTGAATGGCTCGTTTCGGACGATGAAACCGATGATGAGATCGAATCGCCCTCCAGAAGGAAGAGCAAACCCATCGTTCTGAGCGATTCTGAGGATGAAAGCGATTCCGAAGCAGACGACATCTACAACGAAGAAGGAGAAAATGGAGAGCTTCCATCCACCAAGATTCGCCATCTTATGCGGATTCTCAATCGCGAGGCACCGGACTTCAAGTTCATTGTTTTCTCCGTCTTTACATCTATGCTTGACAAGATCGAGCCTTTCTTGAAGAGTTCCAATATTGGATTCGCCCGCTACGATGGTGGAATGGCAAATAATCATCGCGAGGCCAGTCTCGAAAAGCTCCGAAACCACAGTGGCACTCGTGTATTGCTCTGCAGTCTACGTGCCGGTGCATTGGGTCTCAATCTGACAGCCGCTAGCCGCGTCGTCATCCTGGAGCCCTTCTGGAATCCCGTAAGTTGCAATGTTCTATAATATATTGCGTATCGTGCTAACCCTGGACCTAGTTTGTGGAGGAGCAAGCCATCGATCGTGTCCATCGCCTGAATCAAACTGTTGACGTCAAAATCTACAAGATGGTCATCAAGGGTACCGTGGAAGAACGCATTGTTGCCCTACAGGACCGCAAGCGTGAACTGGCCAATGCTACTATCGAGGGCAAGACTGGCGCTGGCAAGCTCACTGTGCGCGACATGATGGCTCTCTTCGGCCGTGATGCGGAAGCCCGATTCAAGGATAACCAAAGCACCCTGGACTTCAACCAGCCTACTCGACTGCTGAATGCCGGGGATGAGACTGAGCCTGTCCATTCTTCCTCTCGGGAATCAACACAGTCTGCCCCACGCAGCCGGGGAAATGAGGCCCAGGCTAACCGACCACGACATGAACACTCGGTTTACGGTCGACGCTGGTAAATTATCAGCATGATACGAAATTATGAAACGATAATTGGAGAGAACTTTGGGGAGTCCTGGTTGGCGTAAGGAACGTGTTTAAAGTCTTTTTGCTAGATTTATCTCATTTCTTGTTTGATATTATATCTTATTGGTTCATCTCGTACATCTCCTGAACTTCTTGCTAGTATGTCGAAACATTCATCTCTAGGTCCTTCATTCCCCATTGTTAGTCTGGGGCTGCTACAGACCAAAGAATGGTGGAACCTTAGTCGTTTCATGGCTGGCCTCACGCCTCCCATGTATCCGGAAACAATGCCCGCGAGTCAGATTGCCGTCCAATTTTAGATATGGCGATTTCACGATGGGGCTCGGCATTGTGGTCCGATTGGGATACTTGCGATCCTGGATATTAATTACCGTGACTATGAATAGGGGTGTGTCAAGCTCCACTGCAAGGGTACGATACGTTGCCCTTTTATTGATACTCGTGGGGAAACTAAGTCGACTTTTACGATCCATTCTGATCTCATTTCGATTGATGCCTGGTACGGCCGGACAGAAACTAATTGAGAACCCAGTTGTTAAATCCAAGCCGTTTTTCATGTCGCCATCCAACACTTCTGTCACAGACTAACTGAGAAGACCACGTTTCTTTTGTTGAATGTGTGGGGTATCCCCATTCGAGCTGAACTGATTCTCGATGGGCCGGAACAGGTACCTCCTTGCCAGGTTCTATGGTTCGGGTCCAGAATCGCTGAGTCTCGCCTTCGTGCGCTCTAACTCGAATGGCAGTAATGCCCTGGATATCCTTGATTGGATTACACTGATAGTACATGGAATGGGTCAGCACACCAAGTCTCTCAGAGTCCAAGAGTGGACGAGGGTAAGCGCAAAAGCAGGTTTAGATGGGTTCTAGCCAGGACCAAGCAGACCATTTGCCGAAGCTTATACCATGGATCTAAGATTCTAGCCCATAGGATTCCGCGCGACTTTCTGATGGTAGTTTCCAGCGAACCGGACAAGGGAACCGAGGACATACTCCCAGGGAGGAAGCTTGTTTCTGGTGGCTTATGCTTTGATAGGTTGAAAGCCCACAGGAGAAAGCATGAGCTGGGGAATAAACCAGTCGGTAACCCCGGTTGAGACATAGAATTCGTGGGGATCTCGCACCATATGCCCTTCAACTTCATTTGACTTTCTTCATACACTTCGTGTGCGCCCAAATTGTTCCTAATACACAATGCCTCGGATGTTGCTAGTCTTTGCCTAACCGTGTGAACCCAACACTGCCTTCCCGTGAGCTCCTTCCCGTCAAATTCGCTGCATGGGATTAAAGCTAACGCTGGTGGTCTTCTTAGTTCGAACCATTCTTAACTGTTCTCTCCGCCGAGGATTGAAATTCGAGATATGTCTTCACGATCCGACATCAAAGAAAAAGGCAACTGGGCGGTCATTTACGATGACCGTAACGAAGATGACCAAAATGGCAGGAAAGAAGAGAAACCTTCCAGAAGAAGGCAGTCTCTCGCGCGAACGTTATCTATACCAAAGACCATGTGTATCATGTCTGGCAACAAAACTAAAATATCAACAGTAGCTGAGCTACCATCACCGAAGTTAAAACTACCTCAGCTAGGGACTGACTTGACGGAAAGGGTCTTTCCTGTTCGATCGGTCGTCTCATTTGATTCCACGTCTTCATCTGCCCTGCAAACACCTTCCCTGGATAACCTCGAAACACCGATATCTCCTTTTTCAGACACATGGGGCGTAGGCTACACCAATGAACAAGCCGGCTCTCAGCAGAAGAATTCGCCCGCGAAGAGCATGAATGCCGAGGATGGTGTTCTAAAGAGACACGACTCTCTGGCTCGACTGCATCAAAAGAGTGGTGGCGAGAGCGAGATTTCGCCAGTGCTGAAAGGTCAATTTTACGCTGGCCACAATCTCGACCGGTTGGACCAGTTGAAAAATACTGTGCAAAACGGTGGCGAGATTCTTGACTTCCACAAGACAACAAAGGGAATATACTACTCGCATGAAGATGAAGAGGACATTTTTATTCAGTCATTCGGTGCACTCATTGTGATGACAGAGTCCAGCGGTAGCTTCGAAGTACAGGTAGCGAGCGAAAACTCCGAGAAAATCATTGGGCATTCCTCTGATGCCCTCTTCGAACTTCGAACATTTTGTGATATATTGCCATCCTCGCAACAGAGCAACTTTCTTGCTCATGCTCAATTTGTTTTGAGTGATGACTACTCGGTCGAGGATTCTGGCCCTGAGGTTTTCTTCCTATCTGTGTTATCATCCGATGGACATACCCAGAGTACTTGGTGTACCATGCATACCAGCACTGTATATAAGAACTATGTGATCTGCGAGCTCCAGCCCGAGGCTCAGGAGACAAATGATCGCCCCCATTTGGAGAATTTCGAGAGCCAAATGACAACATCTGATAGCGGGAACCTGGATATAACTTCTGGTGCATTTCTCGAGAATGTCCATCCTCCCGGGGTAAGTTTTAATACCAGAACCACCAAAGTTTCAGACTCCTCGGATAGCCAGGGCTTGGACTTGACTTCTGGGGCATTTTCCGAGGACTTCCGCCCTCCAGGGAAAGATCGTGATGTTGAAAATAGCAAAGTCCCGGATTCATTGGAGCTTCTCAATACCGTTCCTCGAATTCTCCAGCGTCTGGCAAATTCTCAAACATTAGAAGCACTTGTTCAACATGCCATTGCCGCTCTGCAAAGTCTCATTCAATTCGACAGAACGACCATGTATCATTTCGATAGTGATCGCAACGGAACCGTGGTCGCCGATGCGGCTGACACTTCGTCAGGGTTAACGTCGTACGAAGGCATTCATTTTCCGGAATCAACCTTCCCCGAAGGGTTGAAGAAACTATATACACGCAATACTGTATGCTCCTCTTTTTCTAGAAGCCATGGAACTTCAAAGCTTGTGTATCGGGCTTCAACCAACAAACGACCCCTCGACATGTCAAATACCTACCTCTCCACAGCACCTGTGCTCCCAACGCCGCACACCAACAATCCAGTCAGGGCTTGTGTGTCAATTCAAGTTAATGTTTTTGGCAAGCTTTGGGGTCTCATATCCTGTCAGTCTTACGACAGTAACCAAAGGCTCCATCCGCTCATCCAGAAAGTTTGCTGGTTTGTGGCCGGGGCGGTTTCAAGTAACATTGAGCGTCTGTCCTACACCTTGCCCTTCCAATTTCGAGAACCCGATATCGCCCTGAACAAAGTAGACACACTCCAGGCTATCAAGACTCCACCTGGTGATCTTCTCGGTCTGTTCGGGGCAGATTACGCTGCAGCATCGATTATGGGCGAGTCCAAGATCTTAGGGAAACCAATCGACTCGCAGGAAGTTCTGGCATTGTTTGAATACATGAAAGCTAAAGAGAACGATACTGTGTTTTGGTCCGGCGATATCACCACCGATTTTCAAGAACTCAACTACTCGCCCGGCTTTCATCATCTTTCTGGTTTGCTTTATGTTCCTCTTTCGGCGGACGGCCGTGATTTTATTATCTTCTTCCGGGCCAATTTAGAAAGCCACAACCTTGCGTCTGATTCAGGGAGATCGAGTCGACAAAATGAGTGGTCGTCAGCAGAGTTTGAGAAAGCATCTGTTCTGTCTGTGCTATATCGCACTTTCACCGATATATGGCAAGAGAAGGAGGCAACGCTGCAAAACAACCAGTTGATGAGGCTTCTACTTGCTAATTCTGCTCACGAGTTCAGAACACCGCTCAATACTATTATCAACTACCTAGAAATTGTTCTTGACGGATCTCTTGACCAAGAGACACGAGATCACATTTCCAGATCTCACTCGGCTTCTAAGTCGTTGGTTTACATCATTAATGATCTCCTTGACCTCACAAATGCCGAAATCGGACAACGGTTGATAAAAGACGAGACGTTCGATCTATCAGAAACTCTCACGGAAGCAACAGATATATTCTGGGAAGAGGCAAGACAGAAGCATGTCGATCTGCAAGTATTCCAACATGCAGCCCTACCTCCCGTCCTTGGAGATCAACGACGGGTACGCCAGGTGATCACAAACTTGATTAGCAATGCCATACAGCACACATCCACCGGAGCAGTAACAATTGAGACTTGTGTCGTACCGGAACCGCTGGAGCCAGATCATATTTGCGTTGAAGTCGCAATACACGACACCGGGTCTGGCATGTCCCAAGAGACTGTCGAAACATTGTTCTGCGAGCTGGAACAAGTTTCCAACAAGGGATACATGCAGAATCCTAAGTCATACGAGCGCACTTCAAGTGGCCATGTGTTGGAGACGGAAGGTGTGCTTGGTCTGGGCCTCGCGCTAGTCGCCCGAATCGTGCGCAATATGAATGGGCAGCTAAGCCTGAAATCTGAAGAAGGCAAGGGGAGTTGCTTCAAGATCAGGCTTTCGTTTCCTCTTCCGGATGAAAATAGTAGTCAAATGCAGAACCTATGCACTACGTCAAACGAGCCTCTGCAGGAAGAGGAACGAAGACAAGAGACAAAGCAAGGCACCACACCCTCGAGTTGCATAACAAGCCAGAAAGAAGACGGTATTCCGTGTGAATGTGGTCAAGATTCAGAATTTGAATCAGGCCAATCCATCGTGAATGCCGATGTAAGCTTGCAAACCGGCGAATTAAGAAACCTGTCTCTTTCAGGCCAACAACTCGGACAGAGCAACTCGCTAGATAAACCAACCACTTCCCTTCCAAAGAATGATCCCAGTCAATCATCAGAAGCATCCAAATCTTACATCAAAGAGACCTTGTCGATCTCACCAACCACAAACTCCCCAACCACCCAACCAAGCACCTCTCCGACAATGGACTGGAACCTCCACATTCTTGTCGCGGAAGACGACCCGACCAACAGCACAATCGTCCAAAAGCGCCTTGAGAGATTTGGACACACGGTACACATGACAAGCAATGGAAAAGAATGCGCATATGCGTACAAAGCGAATCCCACTGGCTTCGATGCAGTGCTGATGGATCTACAAGTATGCCCACCAATACCAAACAATTGTATAATTACAAAATGTATTGATATACTAACACCCAATTTTCCGCCTGTAGATGCCCATCGTTGATGGCCTCGGTGCAACGCAGATGATACGCGAATACGAGCAGCAAGAGCTAGCTAATGATATCGCACCTGCGCCTCGAATTCCCATTTTCGCTGTCTCGGCTTCCTTGCTCGAGGAAAATCGCAAAATGTACATGGAGACTGGCTTTGACGGGTGGGTTATGAAGCCGATTGATTTCCACAGGGTTGATCGGTTGCTTGGTGGTGTTAGGCTTCAGTGGGTGCGGGAGGAGGTTGTTTATCGGCCTGGTGTATGGGAGGCTGGGGGTTGGTTCGAGGCTTAGATACATACATATCTAGGATGGCATAGCGTTAGCGTGATATCGGAGTTAGGATGGAAGTTGGTTTGACTGGAAGAAACAGATGAAACGGGGGAAGATGTCCAATATCCAGATGGCATTGGAATCATATGCAAGAAATCTAATATTTATCCATGGTATCTATGCAAACACAAAAGAAACGCAAAATGCAAAATGCAAGTAAATGTAGAGAAATCATCTCAGAAATTTTCCGCTGTATCGGCAAAGTCCGGTACTGTATCGCCGCACTTGAATGAAGGACTATATGCCTTACTAGGCATATATCCGTTCTTCCACGCAGTGCGGTAACTCCACTGTGCGGCGGACTCTGTCCGCCAGGTCCAGTAGAACCATCCCATCGCCGTTTCGAAGGCAGACATCTGTGCCTCAGCATACGTCTGCAGGAACTTCTTGTATGTAGTCGAGTACTCAGAAGGATCCTGGTTCGCATCCGCACAGCTACATGTTCCTTCGGCCGCTGTTGGGCAATATGCTGTCGTGGAACTTGTATCGTAGGTTCCTTCCCATCGAGTGCCTCGGCCGACGTTGTTCACATACTGTGCGCAGTCGGTGTCGGCCTGGGACCATTCGCCGCAAATTGTTGGACCCCATCTAGTTTGTGTATTAGCGTATGAAATGAGAAAGCAAACGGAGCGATATTTACCCAGAACTTGTTGTGTTGATCTCCTTGATCATGGGGTACCAATTATTGCAGATAATGTTGACCTTGGCGGTGTGGTTCAAGACGATCTCACCCGTGTTGAAGGTTGTGTATTGGTGGGTGTCGAGGTACATGTTGTCCGGGTGAGTTTTGAACATGTTGTCCCACTTGTCGAGGTTCAGGAAGCCATCATGTAGGACAAGAGTGGCGGTGACACCATTCTTGCGGACGAGTTCTGCAGCCTCCTGGGTCCAATTTAGGACCTGCTCGACGGGCAAGGTCAAAAGCAAGGGCTCGTTCACTAGACCGTAAATTGTTACCACGTTCTTGTACCGATCTTGGGCAAAGAACTGTGAGAGTTGGTTGTGAATCTCAAGTGATCGCTTCCGGTTGAGGGCGCCGTTTGTGCCGGTCAACCAGTCGATGCTGCCCTGTCGACCGCTGTGGTTCCAGCCGTTTTGACTGCCGGGGAGTCCGTGGAGGTCAAGCTTGACCCGTATCCCATACTTGCGACACCACTCGATTGCGCGTATGAGATATCGCCACGCAATCTTAGGGACGTATGGGTCGTCGTCGTAGGTAGTGACGGCCCAGTAAGAGTATGGGATTCGGACATGATCCAGCCCGGCTTCCTTGATCTCTTTTATGTCTGACTCTGTGATGAATTCGGCGTAATGTTTCTCAATCGTGGACGCTGCAGAGTTTCCGAGCTTCTTGGTCAAGGTGTACTCGTCGATGATACTGGCGCTGGATGGCCACTTGCTGAATAGAGATGGGACAATAAAGGGTTCGATGGACAACCATCCCCCTATATTCACTCCACGGATCGGTTGTGTGCCGTAGGGGAACGCCTTGTTGAGAGCAGGCACATTGTCATTCGCCTGGGCAGAGTCATCCCAGGTTGAGTTGATTCCCATGACAGAAAGACCTCCCACAGTCTCATTTGTGAATGTAAGGTTGAACCCTACGGTCTCGTACCATGTGAATGGATCTAGAACGGTACCTTTGGCGTAACTCTGAGGTGCTGTTGTCAGAAAATTCCATCAAGGTAGCACATTCAAAACTTACCGGTATGCTGTCGCGGCTGATACTGCCCAAATTAGAGGTGAGAGAACTGTCACCAGAGTCTGAGGAACTCGAGGAACTTGACTTTGAATCTGAGCCTTTCTTTTTTGACACAACAATTGCAACCGGAATGATGATGGCAAGCAAAAGTAGGACCGCAAGTAGACATCCGACCAAAATACGCTTCTTCCTCGGCCAATTAGACCAAAACTTCCAAGCCGGTGGCCCTCCACGGCTCTCCAGACTGCCTTCCCAGCTATCTTCATCTTTCCAATGATCTTCCATAGCAGGGCCACCACCTCCACGACGACGAACCCGAGCATCAGAGCTATGTCCCTCTTCCAAATAAGCACCAGACACGACACGCGCACCAGCCTTATGGCGTGAACGACCCTCTGCAACTTCAGCACCAAGCGCCGCACCAGCAGCACCGTCCAGAGCAGCTCGCTTCCGCTGTCGCCGTCGTTCCCGACGCGAATCCTCTTCCTCGCGATACTGCTCCATGCGATCCACATCTTCGTGCTGAGCGGCAAGGCGCGCCATTGCATCCACACTCAAGAGGTGCGAAGCACTACTAGAAGACTCAGTGCTGCGATGTTTCCTCGCCGGCGACGCAGCAGCAGCAGCCTCTATTTCTCGCTCACGCTCACGCTCTCGTTCTCTTTCGCGCTCGCGCTCACGTCGTCTCCGTCTCCGTGCCTCAGCCTCAAGATCAACATCAACATCCCTCATCCGTCTTTCTCTAGCCGGACTCGCACTAACACTCTCATCTCTGCGATACCGTCTCTCGCGATCCCGCCGCTTAGTAGGCGACGCAGCAGGTGAATCCTTCACCCTCGAACTCCCCCTCTCCCTATCCCGTCTCCTCTCATCCCCATAAACAAGCCCCGCAGCCTCATCCTCCTCCCTCCGTCTCCGCCTCCGTTCCCTTCGCCGCTCCCGCTCCTCATCATACTCAGCGCGCTCATTATGCGAGTTCGACTCGTACCCCGATTCCCCGCGGAAGCGGTACTTCGCCGTGCGCGCGTTTCCAGGACTGGATGTTGCGCCTTCGTCGACGTCTTCGTAGCGGCCGCGGATGTATTCACGGTCCCGGTCTCGGTCTCGGCGGCGGGAGCGCTCTTGCTCGCGTGCGCGGTCGCGATCCCGATCCCGATCCCGATCGCGTCTGTCGGGTCGGTCTCGGGTTTGGGATTGGCTGGGCATGCCAGATGGGTGGGGGTGGTTGGTGTGGTATGCGCTGATCGCTTGGATTGGAATGTGGGAATTGTTTGTTTGTGGGGGTGGTTGTTTGATTGGGTTGGGTGGTAAGGGGGGAAGTGGAAGATTGAAGAATGGAAGATGGAAAATGAGGTGAGGTTGGGTTGGACACGTGGGATGTGCCAAGTTGGAATTGAAAAAAAGTTCAGTCCGTCTTGGAATTCTTGGAATTCTTGGAATCCCATCTATATTGGGTCGGTATAAGCTGTCCAAGTGTATTTTTGGACTTTGTTTTGCTTTTTCCCCACTTGGATTCCTCTGCCAAGAGATTGTATAGAGGTAAAATGGCTTTGTGTTGATAGGGTTTATTCTCTATAATGCCCTTTAAGTTTGATATATACTATAATCTATAAAGTCCGCGCGTTCATGATACGTACGTACTTTGTATATTATAGATATGAATGGTTGCTGAGCAACGAGTGGATATTTAAAGTGAAGAGTAGTACTACTTCGATTCGAAGATGAAAGATGAACTAATTTCATATATTCAAATGCAATAACATTAAATACACCTATCCCAGTCCAAATAGACATGCAAGCTCCGGTCCATTCTAACCAAAATACAAAATGCTCATATCAACAAGTGAGGGTATGGAAACTCCAAAACACAATACAAGGTTAAAAAGGACATCATTGCGAAAAGAGACAGAAATGAAGTCCAACCGAAAGATGAATGAGAAAAAGAAAAAAATCAAAACGCAAGTCTGGGTGTTGGTGTCTGTCGTGGATATCTGTACAGCTGTGAGGGGAGGATGGACAAGGGGGGGGGGGGAGGGGGAGAAAGGACGATATATATAGAGATGATAAACATGAAATAATAAATTCTCGCTGTGTCCGGGGAATCTAATAGAATAAAAGGAAGATGGTGCCTCGAGCACTGCATCTCTTGCTGCAGGGATCAACGCAGAGAAATGCATAGTCCATATGCAGAATGCAATCAGACAGAGTCAGCAAGGCTGTCTCCCTCCGGCTGCTCCCAACGGAGCGGGAGCCGGAGCGCGTCGAAGTAGTGGAAACCCGGCCAAAGAGTTGGAGCTGACATCTAATCGGGGACCTCCTCCAGGGTTGGTATTAGGTAGCATTGATGTCCCTGCCGAGACTTCAAACTCTTGTGCGAGTAGAAACCACGTAGCTTAGCACGATAGTCCAGATTGTGCGGGTATCTTGTCGGCAGCGACAGCGCCACCCACATGAGCGCCAATAAGTTTTCACCAAAAGGTGAGCCTATCATTAGCTATTAGCTAATGATTTGCCTGGCTCCCTCTTTGCCCAGAACGCCTGGCTCAGTTGGCTTGGGGCTGCGGTCGCGGCCCTTCTTTCGACTGAAGAATGATAGCATGCCGTTGGCTTGTTTGCCCTTATCATCGCCATCCATTCCATCGGCAGGGGTGGAGTTATGGGCCAGCTCACTCCAGCTACCAGCTTCATTTAGGACCATTTGCACGCCGCCACTTTTACTCATTTGCCGAGTGGCACCGCGGTGTCGATTGTTGGGGGGTAAGGGTCGGTGGAAGGACGGAGCAGGCGGCGGTGAAGGCGACACGCGGCTTGAGGGGGAAGGAGGGGGCTGACCAGCCGCGGGGTCATTGGGATCGAGTGTCTCGCTGACTGTGGTCATGCTGTCACTTTGTGGAGCACGATAGTGAGAGCCGTCGGCTTGGATGGGAGATGTATTTTTGGACTGGTCGGGGTGTGAGAATTGGCGGGCATGTACAGTTGGGTTTGCGGGGGTTGTGGTGTTCCCTTGGGTTGTTGTCGCCATTGGAAGGCACTCCTCGGGGTTTCTGAAAGACAAGGTTAGCACAACGGGGCAATGATCTTGATTGGGAGAGAAACCCACGTTACGGCGGCAATAGCTTCCGCGGCATTGCCTTGGTAGCTAGTCAAGGTGTAGTCAAACGGTTCAAACATTGTTTCAATGAGACGGTGAAGTTCATCATCCCGAATCTCTTTCGCGGTGGCATCGTCCCTTAGTTCGGCGCGCGGTTTTTGCCTGCGCGCTCTGGCCTCTAATGGCGCTTCTTCGAGAAGCAGCTCCTCTAGATCATAAGTCGCATCGAAGTTGGTTTTGTCGCTTGATGGGCGGAATACTGGCGGGATCTGTTTGCGCTCCAGGGCATCAAAGTCGATTTCGGCGAAGAACATGTGTGAGGTGTAGGTCTCAAATCCGATGGCGCCAATTCGTTGACTCCGATCTTTTTGTATCAATGATCCCAATGCCCGCAAGCAAGCCACTGATACGGCGGGATTGGTGACGTAGTATTTCGGCTGCGCCCTTTTGATGTTTTCACTCAGGGTTTCTTGACTTCGCCCTTCGAACGGTCGCTGCATTCAAAATTAGCTGGGAGGAGAACACGGGAAACACATATTCCATACCTTATTGTAGATGCACTCGTAAAAAGTGACACCTAATGACCACCAATCGACTTCAAAGGTATAACCAGTTCCTTCGTAGACCTCCGGGGCAAGATAGGCTAGTGTTCCTGACTTGCTTGTAAGAGGCTTCCCAGGTCGGTAATCGGATGCGACGTTCTGAGAGGCTCATGTTAGCTGAAGCTCACGCAAATGCGATCGATCCATGTCGATATAACTTACAAAATCAGCCAAGTGGACATGTCCATCGGAATCCAATAGGACATTGTCGGGTTTTAAGTCTCGATGAATGATACCCTGCGAATGGATATACCTCAGAGCACACCCTAATTCTGCCATCCAAAACCGCACTGCATCCTCTGTGAAACATTTTCGAGAGATATGGAATCGAAGATCGCCGCCGTTCATTAAATCAACCACAATATAGCTTTAATTGGGTCAGCGAGGGGTGACGAAAGTCGATTCTGGAATACTCACATGTACTCCATATCCTGGAAACTGTATCGTAAATTGCATAGGAACGGATGGTTCAAGTGCTCGAGCATTCTCCGCTCGCGAATTATATTCCGTACGCTTTCCGAACGGACCACTGAAACGAGTGTCAGCTATAGCGCTCTCCGCTTGACGGCTTTGGAGCTTCCAACGAACCTTCCTCTTTGCGAATATATTTTAGGGCAAATGTAAGGCCCGTGTCCTTTCTTTCGACGATTCGTACTTTTCCAAATGCGCCCTTTCCAACGACACGCAGGAGCCGGAAATGATTGAGGTTGACTAGTAGATAAAAAGCGATCAGCAGATTATTCAAAATGGGTAACTTAGGTAGTCCCGCAGACGTCCCCGATTGGAGTCCAGTAAACCTACCTGCATCGTTGCACGACACCGGTTTCCCTTGAGTGTTTCCCATATTGTGAGGATAGACCGATGGTCGAAATAATTAAAGGGTTGACTAGTATCCTGCTAGCAACATCACACTTGTCCCCAAAATCCTCCGATTGAATGGTGATCACGGCAACGGTAGTCGGGTAAACCACGAGTGGATAGAGACGGATTTTCGGCGAATATCGAGCTTAGATCGCAATTTCCATGAGAGGTGACTGAATTCCGAACGTAGAATCGCCGAGCGGGGGGGTCGAATGTTTCAAGAGTCGAAGATGATCGAATGGAGGTCTAGATGTAAATTTTTTTGGAGAAAACAAACGAGACTAGATGAAATAAGAAGGCCACCAGAACTCTTCCAAGGAAAATAAAGAAGGTCCTAGGGTTCCAAGCCTGCAGGATATGTATATCGAGAAAAGGTGAGGGCCCGGGAGCTTAAGTCGCGAAACACACTTGGATAAAGAACCACCGCGAAAAAAAACCAGTGGGAGAGCGGTAGAAAATCGTTGAAATAAATATGTCAAATGACACGGCAATACCAAGATATTCCTGTCCACTTTGGTCAAGTTGAAGCAAAGGTGAAAGAAAGGGGATGAAGCGGGTGAGCGGTCTGGAAGAAGTGGCAGTAAGTTGGGCCAATCACGCGTGACGCGCAAAAAAATGGGGGCAAAGGGGGGAGAATTGAAAGAAATGGGCTTTTTAGGTCCGCTTCCTATGCTTGTTCTGGTCTTGGATGCCGTGTGATCTGCACTGTGTTACTACCCTTCAAGACTAGTTGGTTTGTGAAAGATATTGATATTCCCCGGTTATCTATATCTCTTACATCGATGATAAGCATAGAGAATGCATAATGCTGAACAATAACGACATCCATATTACCCCCACGCATTCCGAACATCGGGCTCTCAAAAATGAGTTTTAGGTGGAGAGAGAGAAAGAGCATATACGGCGTAATACTGGCCACTGACCTAGTTCGACCCGCTTAGAGTGAGCGGAGGCTATGATACCCGCTAACAGAATGCACAGACTTTTTCAATTCAGTGACTTGTCCATTATACTAATCCTAGGCGAACATCCCGGCGATCAAAATTCAATTTGAAACAGGGTTCTTTGGGGAATTATCGGGAGAATTGGTAATTTCTATGCGATTAAGTGCTATATCATATGGTCCGATGTAGATCACTAGGCATTCAGTGTGCCCTACGGCCCTACCTTCTCTTTGTGAGACTCTGTGCTACTTGAAAATTGATCTCGCTTTTCAGGTTCCCTCATTCCCACTAGAAATTACAATTTGGAATATGCCCAAGGAACCAGGAGATAACCCCAAAGTATGCAATCGACTGATCATAGTTTGCCACACGTGTGAGATATGCCCTATTTCTCCCGAATTCTCGTGGCTGCCACGTTACAGACCGCCCTGGGCCCCTAGGCCGCAATGCATAGTTGTCTCGGGAACTGTATAGAAGGGCCCTGGAATGCCTAAAGAATATTCGATATTCGATTTTGATCCCTCACATGTAAGGACTTTGAGTCGCCTGCAGTTGCATCAATTCTAGGCGGGTCTTTTGTTTCGCATTCACTCCACTATGGCGCATATATGCTGAACACGTACGGAGTACCCATACGGATATGTTTGTCAAACACATTAACTCTACTAGTTTGGGTGCTATGGGTCAAACTTGACATGTGGGCGCAGT